TGGCTCCTTAAAAATATGAGAGTCATCAGATTGTAACTCCCGATGTTGATTGTGAAGGCTGTTGAATTAGATCTTTCATCAGTTGTCGTGAAGGTCGTCAGATTGTAACCTTCAGCGATCTACGTGAAAGTCCTCAAATTATAGCCTTATGAAAGTCGTCAGATTATAACTTCAGTCATCGGTGTTTGATGGGGATCAGCTATCTGTCGTGATTTTTAGACAGCCTACAAAGACTACAAAATCTACTGGAAAAATAAAATCTCCAACCTTGATCAGAACATCCTCTAACTCACCCATAGGGACCTTGACAGATCTATCAGCCAACTGTAAGGTGCATTTGATTAGATTCAGTACACCTAGACCCAATTGCTGATAGACTGAATATGGAAGTAAATTGACACTAGCCCCTAAGTCTAAAAGCGTTTTATCAATGTGAGTATTACCAATGATACATGAAATGATGGGGGAACCTGGATCTTTACGTTTCAAATGTATGGGATTTGATAGTATTTCACTGATATTGGCAGGTAAAAAGACTTTCTTTGGAACATTTATTTGCCTCTTCTTAGTGCATAATTCTTTTAAAAATTTAGCATAAGATAGAATTTGTTCAATTACATCTAAGAGAGGAATGTTGACCTTAACCTGCTTGAATATTTCTAGGATCTTCTCCTCCTGAGGAGAGTATTTCCTAGACCTGAGTCTATCTGGAAATGGAGCAACCGGTCTAAATCTATCAAAAGCAGGCTCAGGTTCGGGTTCAGGTTCTTGGTCATCTGAGGGGAGTGATTGTTGAATAGATTCATCAAAAGGAGAAGGAGAAGGAATTTGTATAGGATCAAGAGTTTGACTTGGAGGAGTTCTCACTTGATTATCGACCTGTCTACCTAACCGAAGTGAATGGATTGTATTCACTTGGGCTTCATAGGATGAACTGCATCCTGTGTTCTTAGGGTTGACCATGGGTTGACTTGAAAATTTTCCCTTCTCTCTTTCACTCACGGCACTAGCTAGTTGACCAAGTTGGGATTCTAATCTAACTATAGCTTGAGTGTTGGAGTTGAACATTTGTCCAGTTGATTGCATGAAGGAATTCAGAGTGCTAGACGTTTGAGTCAACATATTCGTGGTTTGAGTGGAGGCCTTAATTATGGTTTCCAAACCCCTTTCCAAGACGTTGAGACGTTTATCCTGATCTGGATTATGATGAGTCTGAATTACAGCTTGATGAATAGGAGACTGATTTTGATACGGCAGATTGGGTTGTTGAAATTGTGAATGAGAATTGAACGGACCTGTGTTTCCCCTAGGATAATGTTGGGTCGAAGCGGGAGTGAAGTTTTGAGTTCCGGGAGAATTTCCTAAATTCCATGCAAAATTGGGATGATTTCTCCACCCTGGATTGTCGGTTGGAGAAAATAGATCATTTCTAGGGTGCTGGAATGCAGCATTCATCTGTTCTAATGCATTGTTGTTTCATAGGAGAGGGCATTTCTCTGAAATGTGGGTAGGAGACTGACAATTATGACATCCTGAGGCAGAAACATGATTGATTTGAGCTGGAGCTCGTTCCTTAATTTCTAAAGCTTCTAACCTTCGCAGAATCGTCGCCATCTTCGCTTCAGAAGCAATGTTTGACTCCAAGGAAAGACCACTAGACTTAGATTGGGGAACTGATGAAACCCTATCATCACAGTGTTCTCATTGCATTGTTTTTTCAGAAAGACTCTCTAAAAACTCTCAAGCTTCATCAGCGTTTTTCCTCATGAAATTCCCGTGGCACATTGATTCTAAGGAAGTTTTTGCAGAATAATCTAATCCCTCATAAATTATTTGGCACAATCGCCATTTTTCTAAACCGTGATGAGGACATTGGATGAGAAGATCTTTAAATCGGTCAAAATACTTCCAAAAGGGTTCTCCCGAGACAATTTTAAAATTCATGATACTGTTTCTTAGCTTCACTGTTTTATGGATAGGAAAAAATTTCTTAAGAAAAACGGTGATAAATTCCTCCCACGTAGTGATGGAATTTATGGGTAAGCTATACAGCTATTTTTTTGCTTTGTCTTTGAGGGCAAATGGAATAAATCTGAGTTTGATCGCATCTTCGTTTAATGCTCTCATTTTAATCATAATACACACTTCCTCAAATTCCGAGATAAAAATATATACATCTTCTGTTCATTACCAAGGAATTTGGGAAGCATGTTTATGTATTGCGGTCTAAGCTCAAAATTTATTCCATTTGTTTCGGGGAGCCTAATGCACGAAGGGATTGCATTCCTAATGGGATAGCACATATCATGAAGAACGGGTGGATTAGGATGCTCCATTTCTATGATTGGTTCAAAGCGAATTAATCGACGTGTATTATCCCTAATCCACTGTTGCATACACCAAAACTATTTCTTTTTATTTTTTTTATAAAGAAAGAGAAAAAAGAAAAAAAATTAGTTTTTTTTATAAAAAAAATAGAGAAAACCTAACTAAAACAAATCAAAGCAATCACTTTTCAATCACTCTAATTCTAGGGTTTAGCCTAACTCAACTAGACCAGCTCCTAACCAAAAACTCCTACAGTGAAAAGATTAAAGTTTTACCCAGGTAGTTAGCCAGGTAAGGATAGTACTAGAGGGTGATCAGAGATCAATTAAGTACCTCGTTCTTTACGGAGCGCTTTACGCAACCCCTAAACCTTGCCTTAGACACCAACTAATCTGAGAAAACTTAAACCGGTTCACTTAAGGATTTCTTGTTCCTTATTGAGCTCGAATCCTTAGGGGCCAACGTCTAATGAGTTTTATTAGGCTTGGGTGGTGTAGTGAGGAATTAGTGATTTTTGGGCTAAGGAAAGGGTGATGAAATCCCTCACCTTATCTTGATTATGGGGTTTTGCCCTTAAAAATATTTTTAAGTGTAAAATATTTTTAAGTATGTGCCAAATCAAGATGCTCAAATCACTTGGTGAATTCCTACTATCAATATGAAATGCAACCCTATGAATTAAAAGCAACTAAAAATGATGGAAAAGAAAAATCTTTTTTTAATTAGGGTTCACAATCAAACAAATGAGAAGGGGGGGATATGTTTGAATTTATTATCTTGTTAGTAAATGTCAAAGTGGAGGGTGAATTTTATTATGGTCAACAAAAATAAAATCTTCTTTTTTTTAAGTCCTAATTGTCTCTAAATGTGAAGAAGTAGCTAAATGGTGAAATTAAAAACTAGAAAGAGGACTTACCCGAAAGCAAATCTTCAAATCCTAATTCTCCAATCCGCGATCTTCAAGCTCCAAGCGTTTTCTTCACAAAAAACACACTAGTTAAAGAACCAAAATAATTAAAACCTACTTAAGCACCTTCCCCGTTAACGGCGCCAAAAACTTGATGCGGTATAAACATGTACCAAAAATATTACAAGTGCACAACCGTGTCAAGTTATAGTATAAATCGGTTCTTATGTTGTGTGCGTGACAAATAGGAGTGATGAGTGAATGTGATTGTGGAGAGAATGATTGTGATTGTGGAAATGAATATATTTGAGAGTGGAAGTGAGTAAAAAATAAATGTGATCAACAAGGCAAGAAGGAAGAATGAATAAAATCGAGAAACAAATAAAAAATCAAGAATGTAAAGATAGCGGATTCAATTAAAGATATGGGTAATCTAGAATTGAATCCTCTTATTAGAAAAAAGTGATTCCCTAGAGGGTTCTAGCCTAAAGGCGAATCAAAAAAAGTGAAAATAAACAAAAAGAAAAACTAAACCCAAGAGGGTTCTAGCCTCAACGTGAATAGTGCAAGAAATTAAAATCTAACTACAAAATAAATTGTAAAATCTAAACTACAAAATAAATTGCCAAAATACAAGAAAATAAATCTACTCTATAAGCATAAAATAAATCTAATATATGAGCATGAAATAAATCTAAGGCAAGAGGGTTCTAGCCTCTTGGCTATTTAAACAAGAAAATAAAATCTAATTACAAGCATGAAAATAAATCTAACTAATAAGCAATAAAAGAGAAATAAAAGAGAAAAAGAAAAGAAATGCAAACCTCTAAATAATTCTTCATCTCCATCTTCATCATCCAACAAAAAGAAGAAATATTTAAAGTGGTGAAAAAAATTATTATTATTAATTGTAACAAAAAGTTACAAATTTGGAAGGCCTTCTCAATTAAGAGTAGCCCTCCTCTCCAAAAGGAGTTACAAAAATTTTCACACCCCTAACCCCTCACTCTCTACCCCTATTTATAGTAAACATCAGTGAATGAGAGCCATTGGATCAAACTTGAGCCCCAAGACAAGTAAAATCAGCCATTGATGCGCGCTACACTAATCTGGCATCGATGCAGGCATCGATGCAGGTATCAATGCAGGCATCGATGCCCACATTGATGCCGACATCGATACCTATTATTTCCAAATTCTGATTTCACGGATAGCTTCGTCTCGTCGAGATAGGCGATTTTCATATATTATATGTTAAATTCCGCCTTCCGGATTAGGAGATATCGTCAATTCTTTGTGGCCAACCATTTTGAATATGATTTCTTTTCATATTGGATTTTTGATTTTCTCCGGCTTCTACAGGCTACACGACTTCATTCTGGGCTTTTGGATAATTTGGAAATTGATTTTCCAATGTGCTTCTTTGCTTCATTTCTTCATTTAATCAATGGGTTTTTGTTGAGAGATGAGAGTTTGAGATTTATTCTTCATTAACCTGCAATTAAAAGATAAAAACAATTATTAGTGGTATATTTATTCATATAAAATAGATAATGAGGGTATAAAATTATAATAAAATATGATTATCAACTAACATGATCATGAACATTGGGCACTAACTCAACATGAAACAATGTAATTGTCTTGTACAACGAAACCAAACATGAAACCACCATAGCAATTTAATAATGAATTAATGATGAACTACTCCAAATTTCAACCAATATAAATAAGGAAAAATCAGTAAAGAGTCATTGATGCTTACATATCCTACGGATGAGCTATGTAGTCTGCTCTTCACTCTGGCTTGTTTGTCATCCTTTACATTTTCTATCTTCTCCTTCTTCCTCGGCAGTGAAACCACCATAGCTTTACTCTTAGATGATATAGGTCTCATTCTTACTTCTCCATGACGAGCGTTAGCCTCCTTCCCGCTGGGCTCCCTTAGAGGGCATTTCTCATCCCATGGGCTGCTGTTTGAAATTAGTTTATCCTTAAACTTAATGTTTGCTTTTTTGCCTTGGAGACAATTGTCTCCCTCGTCATCGATCCATCCGTCCCTCCGACCCTTACCCAATTGGTCAACGGAGGCTTTCATCTCAAGTTTAGGGCTGGTTTTTTAATCCCTATCATCTCTGTTTTCGTCGAAAGTTACCTTAGTCATTGATTTCATTAAACTTTAAGCGTTACAAATGAATTCAAATAACAAAAGAACAAAAGATTACAACTTTCTTGAAAATAAATACAAGATCCGTTTATCGGCTCTTGCTTGCGTGGGTTCTTTGCCGGTGTCGGGGTTAATCCGTGGACGACCGCGAATCAGATCCGGTTGTAGGAAAATTCGGCAGAGCTTCGCCTTCGCCGAGGAAGTTTTCTAGTTTGAAGCGCTGAGATCGACAAAGCAAAATCAGGGCTCTTCTCGAGATTAAGACCAAGCCTAATCTCAAGGAATGAACGTACGGGCTTCGGATCCTTCGAACGGCTTCTCCTTTGCTCCAAAGTTCGCCGGGATCTCGTTGACCTTCGCTGAAATTTCGTGCTCCTTCACTCTTCAATCCGGCAGCACCTCGTCCTCTTGATAAAATTCCAGCTCTCGAAAATGGAGGCATTGGCTCATATTTATAGGCCTCGAATGCGGTTATTTGGATGAGAACAAGTGATTTGGCTCTATCTTCAGTTGACAACAGCCTAATCACGTTTGGGGATGATCTCAAGTCAGTTAAGAACCCCTGGAATAGATGAATCCTGCAAAAAACCACTTTAAAACCGTCAAAACGCGTTTCGGGTACCAAACTGCGCGGCAGACTGGTCTGACCTGCGCTTGCGCGGGTCGGACAGATCCGACCCGTGCTTGCGCGGGTCGGACCTATCCGACCCGCGCTTGCGTGGGTCGGATTGATCCGTCCCGCGTTTGCGCGGGTCGGATCATCCCGTCCTGCGCTAGCGCGGGTTCGCCGACTTTTTCCTTTTTCTGTTTTCTTTCTTCGTGTTTGACTGACGCGCACGCGTTGATTGACGTGCGCGCGTTGACCGGCGCGTACGAGTTGATTGACGTGCGCACGTTGACCAGCGCGCACGAGTTGGTTTGACGTACGCGCGCTGACCGACGCGCACGGGCTGAATGGTGTGAGTGCGCTAAGCGACGCTCGCGAGCTGATTAGGTGAATCTTCTTGACTCGCCCATTCATTGCTTCGAGTTTCGTGCGGGCCCTCGTAGACAATTTTAGACGCCTACAGATACCCCCTACAAAGTGTTTCGGCCTCATTCTTTTATAGAGGAGTCTGAAATGCTTTGGATATGATGGATCCCCACCTTCAGTCGGTGTTAAAGGACCTACAGATGGTTTCGATTCTTGACTTCTCCATATTTTAGCGTATTCTGTATTTTGTCGAATAGCTAAGATTTTCTCGGTACTGCGTTTATCGTTTGACCGTTATTGAAGCCTTGAACCGGAATTGGTGAGTAGATTTTTATTGATATGTCATTGAGTTGACTTTTGGATCAATTGCAACGCGTTGACAGACATTGACCTAGGGCTACGCGTTGACCGGCGTTGACCTTAGGGTTTCGAATCGATCGTCGTTGACTTTCATCGCAACACGTTGACCGGCGTTGACCTAGGGCTACGTGTTGACCGGCGTTGACCTTAGGGTTTTGCGTTAACCTGAGGAGAACCAGTTTATACTCGTGTACTCCTGGGAGTTTCGGAAATCAGTTTAACCTCATGTACCCGTCGGAGGTTTCCAGGTTATCCTTAAGAATTATTATATGTAATACTCTCCAGGAACTTCCTGTCAAGATGGGAAACAGTTTAGACTCATGGTCGCCAATTGGAGTTTGAATTTCGAATATTCCGATAATAGGTGAAAAATCACGAAATCACCCAAAATATAGACGAAAATATCTCGCAATTATTTGGGAGGCGGAATTGAACTCCGAAAATTCCAAATCTGAGTGAAGATGCCGCCAAATTATCCGGGAGATGAAATTGAACTCCGAACATTCCAATATGAGCGAAAATGCCGTGAAATTGTCCGGGAGATGAGGTTGGACTCCGAACATTTGAAAAACGGGCGAAAACAGGTGAAAATACAACGAAACGGACGTCAACCTGGGTCTGACCCGCGTGAACGCGGGTCGGATGGATCCGACCCGCGTGCCCGCGGGTCGGACACAATTCCGACTCGCGAAACGCGGGTCGGGTGAAGACGCAGGGGATCAAAACTCCCCATCTCGGGTCGGGAGAGGTGAAAAGGGGTAAAAATCCCTAATTTTTTTTCTTTTCAAAACTCCGGTCCCAGTTCTCTTCTTCTCCACTTCGGTTTCCTCCATTGAGTTCCAGTTCTTTGAGAGCTCTTCTTCCTCAGGAGTTCTAAACAAATCAAAGCTCCCCCCTTTAAAGCTCATCAGGTTCTTGGATTCGAGCAAAGGGTGATTCAGATCTAGGGTTTCGGCCAGCTTGACTTGAGCATTTGTGGATTTTATTTCGGCGGACCCCTCCTCCTTCTCAATTCCTCTTCGAATTTCAGGTAAGCTTCCATGTCCTCTCTTCAATCTTTGGGCTAAGTCCTTGAGTTTTGGCTTGATAGTTGGAACCCTAGTTCTTGAATTTGGGGGAAATCCGAAATCTGACCTTGATCTTTGAATGATGGCCGATTTTTTGAGTTTGATTGTGTTCGTGGCTTGATAATTGCAGTCCAATGTTTTTATTTTTAGGAGAAAACCGAAAATTTGGATTGGGTTTGTTCATGGCCGAATTCTTGGACTGTTCATGGCCGAAATTTTGTTGAACTTTTGAATGATAACTTGAACTTGCACTCAAGTATTGACTGAAATTCGAACTGAACTCTTTCATTGAACTGTCTGATCTTGTGTTTTGAATCATGGCTGAAATTTCCGCATTTGATTCGGGAATTATTAATCTGATTCATAACTTTGCATGTAGGCATGGCTAAAATTCTTCTCCGCAGATGATTATCTGGTGATAGGCTTGATATTTTCCATGAATCCTCAAAATGAGGTGTTTCCATGCAGATGGAACCAGAATTAAGTATACTTTGTCTTTTGCCATTACCCGGTGAAAATGCTTGAAACTCCTTGGGTGGATGCCTCTTGTATATAATTGAATTTGTGCATGACTTGAATCCGAACTCGTATATAACCAAACTTCGCATATATGATTGAATTCGTGTATATGTGATTGAACTCTTGCATATGGTTGAACTCTTGTATATAATTCAAATTCGAATTTTTATATAACTAAGCTCTTGTATTATTGAATTCATATATGACTGAACTCGTGCATGCCTTGAATCCAAACTTGTGTATGACTCAAGAACCTTATATGCCTTGAATTCGAGCTATTCTTGTATATGATTGAGCTCTTGTACATAATCCAAATTCGAATTTGTATATAGCCGAACCCTTGTATATGCCTTGAATTCAAACTTGTACATGACCGAGTTCTTTGTATTTGACTCTGTGACACTTAACTTGAACCGAGAATGTCGTATAGGTTTAATTGGACCCTTAATTAGAAAATTCCATTTTGTAGAATTTCAATTAAAGATTCGCAATTTCCCTTTTAGTCTTCGATTCATGTATCTCGATTCTTGATCTGACTGAGTGGTTGATCTTCATTGCAGATTAGCTATGTCGACGAGGAGATCGGCTGGAGCGCGAATTCCGACGGTTACAAGAGTTGAAGACTGCTGGTAGCTCAATGTACATAGCCATTTGGATGGAATCTCGTCTACAAGCATGGCATGACACTCAGGTTTCTGCTGGACTTGAGATTCAAACGCAACAAAGTCAGGTGGATCAAATGGAGGCCTTGGCTATCTTGGGGATGGCGAAGGATGACTTGGAGCGTTCACAAGTTGTGATATCCGGAAAATTGGAGTTCTCGAAACAGAAGTTAGCCAAGATCAAACAAGAGCCTGCGAAAACATTATCCCTCACCGAGGAATCCTTCAAGGTTGCATTGCAGTGTGAGCTTGAGCGAACTTATACAGAGGAATTGACTAAACTTGAACAGCAAGCCTGTAGTCACAAACTTCATGTAGATTGATTGTAACTCTTGTACCTGTAAACTCAATTTTATTAATAGAAAATATGCCTTTTTTTATTCATTATGTCTCATTTATTATGATGTCTTACTCCGTATGGATAATCAACCACTACGTATGGAATAATCAACCATAATACTTGTGGGATTTTTGGCAAACCCTCAGCCTTCAATGGGTTTGATGAGCCTTTACCGACTACCGTTTGAGTCGGGCTAGCATGTGAATTATTAAAACCCGTTTCACATGTAACGTTGCGCTAAGAGAGTTAATTCTCCTAGACTTGGTGCTATGATTTTGAATACATAGACTTCGTCTTTCTCATGGGAGTAGACTAAACGGCAACGCGTGTTAGGCGTTGACTTACCCCTTCTTAGGCTTCGGGGTAAATTCCCCAGAATTATACTCTGGTGTCTTTTTCAATCGGCGAAAAACTAAACCGGCGACGTATGTTAGACGTAGACTTAAGATTTTTAGCAAACCCCCAGCCCTCAACGGATTTGATGTGCCTTTACCGATTACCGTTTGAATCGGGCTAGCATGTGAATTATTAAAACACGTTTCACATATAACGTTGTGCTAAGGAATTATTTCTCTTAGACTTTGTGCTATGATTTTGAATACATAGACTTCACCATTTCTCATGGGAAAAGGTACCCAGCAACGCGTGTTAGGCGTTGACTCATCCCTACTTAGGATTTGGGATAAAAGTCCCCAGAATTAAACTCTGGTATCTTTTTCAATCGGTGAAAGACTAAACCGGCAACGCGTGTTAGGCGTAGGCTTATCTCTATTTAGGAGTTGAGATAAAATTCCCCGTGCACAAAGTGCACGGATTGGAAGTTGGGAATTGTGTCTTTTCTCAAAGTAAAGACGGACTGAAAAATGGAAGAGGAAGAATTATTTATTCTATCTTCCTGCACTGAAGAGGAAGAATTTTATATTCTATCTCCAGTTGGAAATGAAACTCAAGGTGGGATCTCCACCCCCAGAATCCGAAAAGATGAAACTAAGAGTGGGATCTCCACTCCG